CGTACTGCAAAGAATGAAAAAAAATGTGAGCATTTTTGTCTTTTAAATTTTACTATCAGATTGATTTTTGAAAAGGAGTACATATATACATGGATATATTCTTTTCTCCCTCCCATTCTGTGGTACTAGGAATGGAACCCAGGGCCTTAGCACTGAGCAGCATCCCCAGCCATTTTTATTTTTTGAGACAGTGTCTTGTTATTTGTCCAGACCAGCCTCAAACTTGTGATCCTCCTGAGGAAAAAAAAAATTTAGAATTTTAGATTTTAGAATCTTTTGAAAAGCAAAGATATGAAGTATGAAGTAATAATGTTAGGCAGGAAAAGTAATTATTATTAATAATAAAAATAGTGATAGAAGGCGTACCACCAAAGGAAAATAGTGACTTCTGAGAAAAAATGATTCCTCAAGTATTGACAGAGATGACTTATAAGGGCAATTGCAGCAATGGAACAAACCTTTTGGGATAGGCACATTTTGTTTGATCCTTTGTCGCCTTTCATACACCACATATTGTCTTTGAGAGCAACTCTGATACAAAATAGATGAGGATCACAGTGACAAGAAGGGTTATAGTTTTCCCACAGAAGACAAAAATAACAATTCTTCCTTCCCTCTTGGTCAAAACCCTTCCTGAGAAAGACTCTCAGAGTCCCTTAGTTAGCTACAATGATCTGTTGGCTTTATCAGAGTAGTGTAATGTGAAACCACACAAAGTGAAGCAATCTATTTTTTTAAAAGTCTCTCTGGTGGCTATTTTCCAACTATTTTTATGCCAGTACAGCTTCAAGCATTTGAAAGATTGAGATATCTGTAAAAAACTGAGATATAATTTTAATTTCTTTTCCCTTTATTAAACTACTCTCTGTATTTTGAATGAAAGTTGCCTCAATGCCAGTGCTGAAGATGGTCAGAATCTATGTCATGTTCACATTTTTTCCACAGATTCCATTTTCCACCAGTAAGTCAAATTAAGTGTTTTTCCAAAGCCATGGTATAACAATGAGTGCAAAACTAAAAGACATAGATTCTGGGTTGGTGAACAAGGTGAAGTGCTAGCAGAGCGGTGTGCCCAGACAGAGCATGGAAGCTCCAGGCATGCCCTCAGCCCCATGCCTTGCCCTACGGCTCTCTTCCATATGGCTCTTCCTTAGTTATAGCTCTATAATAAACTGGCAAATTGGTCATGGCCTTGGATTTTTACACAGTTAACAATCTCCCCATCATTTCTGATGATCAGAATGATCTTCCAATGTGGAAGTATCAAACCAAAACTGAAAGAGCGCCCTGAAAGATTCAGCTACTCAGTTGGTTCACCTCTGGCCATCATTACTAGGAGGTGGGAAAAGAACATGCAGAGAATGGGATGTGGGCATTTGGAGAAAATTGCTCAGCCAACAACAACAGAAAGGTAGAATTAAGCACTTGAAATCTGGACTGTAACTGAGAGAAACAGTGGGTACTTCACCACTGCAATGCCCAAGGCTGCTCTCTCCATGAAGACCCACACACATGCTGAGGATTTTCCTAGATATGGGCCTTTTGAAACATTTACTTTTTCAGCATCAACAATGAAGCTATATCTTTATATTCACCAAAATTTCTGATTCAGAACCATGACACCCAAACACTTTTTTTTTTTTTGGCTGCTTTTATTTTTTTAAAGAGGTGTCTCTGTTTTATTCAGGCTAGCTTTGACACATGGACTGCAGCGATTTTCCTCCCTTAGCCTCCCACACCATTGGCCTGGCCTTTTCGCCTTCAAATTCAAACCATGGTGATTAGTACACCTGGAGTAAATGTCCTGTGATGGAACTGGATTAAGTAATCTTTACACTATATGCTAAGGAAGACCAGGAAAACTCCACCCTCCCATAAATATTAGAAAAAAAAATTCACTTATTGTAAATAAGTGTGCTATTATGGTGACACATCAAAGTTGTAGGACAAAAATGGATAGAACCTTTGTAAGTCATAAACATAAACTTAAAAATCTAACACTAAATAGGAAATACATGTTGATATACAGGTTTGTTTTGGGGCTTAGGATTTGACTTTTGTATTTCTATCTCTTTCAGATCAAAAGAGAGCATTTAAGTTTGTTCTATAGACTAGTACGTTACAGGTTTTACTGAAGAATAATATATGTGACACATACATATATTTCAAAATCTTAAATGCCCTTTTTTTTTTTTTTTTGGTTTTGATACAGTGTCTTGCTATGTAGTTCAGGCTGGCCTTGAGCTCACTAGGTATATAGCCCAGGCTGGTCTTGAACTCTCAGCGATCCTCCTGCCTCAGCCTTCTGAGTGCTGGGATTACAGGCATTTGCCACCAATTCTAGTTTAAGTGACATTTTTAAAGAGATAGGGGTCTCACTAAGCTGCTGGCCCCAAATTCCTGGGCTCAAGTGAACCTCCTGCCTCAGCCTCCTGAATAGCTGACACTTACAGGCATATATGCCTGTCCCTTCAGCTCAATAACAATACTGAATAATAATAATAATAAAAGAACTCCATGATTCAGTAAAATAAAAGTTATTAAAAGAATACTTAATTTATTTCATTTATTTTTGAGACACAGTCTCTGTTGCCCAGGCCAGCTTGGAATTTGTGATCCTCCTGCATCAGCCTTCCAAGTAGCCATAATTACAGGTGGGTGACACTGTGCCCAGCTATTTTAACCAAGAAATTTTATGTGTGAGATCAATAAATTAACATATGCCTATAGTATTTTCTGAAAAAAATCTGAAAGCCTAGAATTCTCAGCATGTTTTTCCTACTGATTACAATCTGTTCTCAGGTCTCAATTTGTGCCTACAGATTGGTTTAAGGGTTATTCATTCCAAACTCACCAACATACTAGGAGGATACAATCTCTGCCTGTAGACATCTGACAGTAGATATCAACACTGTTTGATAGTAAAAGTGTTGGTAAATATTTGGCATTCTTGTTACTAATATAATGACTTTGCATTCTTAACTAGTATAATGTTATTGCCCGTTAAAGAATATTGTGGAGTTACCTTTCTGTGAGGATATTCAAATTTCATTACATGTTCAGTGACAAATCATAAAACACATTGGTTGGTTTCATCTATAGTTGTTCAGTGGGGGCCTTTAGCTTCAAAATCAGAAGACAGGTTATGTGGAGTCAAGGAAGTGATTTTCCTTAAAACAGTTGTGGTAGTACATTGACTCACAATGCATTACGGATTTTATTCTTGTATTGTGATCAGATGCAGTTTTGTTAGGCTGAAACTTTGTGCAGTTTTGAATTGCACGGAATGACATTTCTCCATTATCTTGCTTGAAAAATATAACATAGGAATGAGACTCCACAGTGAATCCCCACAATAAGGAAAATGGTCACGTTATTTCTAAATGGAAATCCCCAACTGCCACATCCCATCAATCATCTGACATATAATCTGACTTCCATTGAGCTGGAATGTGCTTTAAAGGTCAGGTCTCTGGATAAAGAATTTTAGTTTAGTGGGTTACACAGCAGAAATGCCTAAATCTGGAGCACTGTTTTAGCGTTGACAGAAATAGCTTCTCTTCAAATAGCAGAGAAGAAAGAATGAAAGATTTTAAGCTTAAAGTCTTTTGGAAAAGCACATTTTCAAACGATTCTCCCTGTATCTCATTAAAACGTTGAAGAAATGGGGGTGGAGACAGAACTACATTAAGCTATTTTAACAGAAAGTGTACCCTAGAGTACTAGACATTATTTATTTTATATTTCTAAAAAAACTGGGAAAAGCCACATTAGGAAAAAAAGAATTCAAGAGTTTGGTCTTTTTCAAGAACTTGGACCCGGTGGGCACAGTGGGCCTGCTTTCCTTTGTGGAAAAGTAGGTTAGAGCACTGCACCCCAGGCTCTACAATTTGTCCTTCCCACCACTCCCAACTCCTCTACCCGTATTTATTTTGCCTGCCTCCTCCTATGGGAAAGACACATCTGCGGTTTAGTAAATTGATGCAGCTGGGCCCTCTTTTTTTTTTTTTTTTAAACAAATCTTTTCGTTAAAGGATGAAGGGGCACCAACGGCTGCTTTTGCTTCCATAAACAGTCCTAAATCTGTCTTCAGCGAGCTGACCCTAACCTACTTTTTCCAGAATGGCCAAAAAGACGGAACGAAGAATCATGCGCCGGCCCTGGCCACCGCGCGCCGGATGGGTGACCTTGGGCGAGTCCGCCGACTCCCAGCCGAGGCGGTGGCCAGTTCGCGAAGCCCCGGGGAGTCGAGCAGCGCGCTCCACTAAAGTCCTAAAGATTTAAAAAGCCGCACCCGCTCCCTGGCACAGGAGTCGCCACGCCGGGTAGCCGCCGCACTCGCGCCGCTCGGGTGTGCGGGCGGAGGGAAGGTTCGGAGGCTCAGGGCTGGGGAACCGCCGGGGACTGCAACGAGAAGTTCCTCAGACCGGCAAAGTTGCCGCCGCACTTTGACACTCTGGCTCCCAGCCGAGGGGACGGGCTGGCCGCTTGGCCAGAGCGGAAACCGGTCCCGGGCCATCTCCCTGCCCGGGGCTGGGCACTACAGAACAGCAGTCACTCCCGGCGGCGAGAAGCGCTCCAGGACCCGAACCCCGCGATCCTAAACCCCACCCGGGCTGGACCCGCGCCTCCCCACGTGACAAGGCCGGAAGCGTCACTTCCGCTGGCAGCGGCGCCTGCGCGGGGCGCCTGGGCTCGGAAGCGGCTGGCAGCAGCGCTGCGCTGCCAACAGCCGCGAGTGGCGAACGGTGCGGACTGGCTGCGGCTCTGAGGGTGTGGAGTCCGCGCGGCCCGACCTGGCGCCGCGCTTGGTCCTCCGGGGGGTTCCCAGAGGCGGCGGGGCGCTGTGGGAGGTGCCGAGTTCGCCCCCGCCCTGGGCCCGCCCCGGGCCCGCCCCTTCCCGCCTCCCCGCCTCCCCCCCGCCCTGGGCCGGCAGCTGCGGCGCGGCAGCGAGCGGACGAGGTAGCGGGAGGCGGTATGTGAGGCTGGGCTGGGCTCGGCCTTGCGCGGCGGCCGCGGCACTCAGAGGCGCTCGCGCAGGCGGCGAAGGGCAAGGGCGGCCACGCCTCGCGGACGCCGAGCCGGGACGCGCGCTCCCCGCGTCCCCAGCTCGCCCGCGGGACCATGAAGAAGTTCTCGCGGATGCCCAAGTCCGAGGGCGGTGGCAGCGGCGCGGCGGGCGCTGGGGCCGGCGGGGCGGGGATTGGCGGCGGCGGCGGCAGCTCGTCCTTCGGGGTCCGGGTGTTCGCGGTCGGCCGCTACCAGGTCACCCTGGAGGAGTCACTGGCAGAAGGTGAGGCGCGGGGCGGCGGGGGCGTGGCGGGCTCTGGTCCCCGCGCTCGCGACTCACCTTCCCTTTCTGCGGGGCTTGAAAGGAGGGAGCTCAGGCTTTCGTTCTCCAGCCGGCTCTCTTAGGATGACTCGAGCTCATTTCCTTCTGTTCTGCGCGAGGAAGTAAATAGAAAACGTTTTAGCTAGTGATGGGTGTCTTGATAGAGACTGTGACTCACGGGAGCGTCCGATCGAGGCAGGGTCGAGGCTAGGCTTTGCCAGCGGTGGCTCAGACGGGTGAATTGAGTTGGCCTCTTCATGAAGACCCTGCAGCCCTGGTGTCTCCCGTTTGCTTCTGCTCAGTCATCAGTTTAAAAACATCTGTATAGCGAGTGTGCGTGTGCGTGTTGATACTTTGGCCCAAATTCGGTTAATAGGTTGCTTTGGCGGGCAGGTAAACTTAAAGCCCATTTGTCTTTGTTATTTAGAATCTTTGTTGGACAAAGCACTTACTAGTCATGTTCTCCCAGTGTGTTTCTTTGGTGCTGTGTACTCTTTAAAAGGTGTTAATAAGTCGGTAACTTTCACTTGCAAGGTATTGTGATGGATCCTGCATTATCTTGTAACTGGTTAAGACGAAAGGTAAAAGTCTAGTTGCAAAAAAAGTTTATTCCATGTTATTGAAAAAGATGCTAGACTTTGGTTTTGTGTTTCTTGTGTAATTGGTTTATAGAAAATACTTCTCTTTATTTCGTGCCTCACTGACCTTTGAACTTTCAATTGTGAAGTATTATAAATACTTTAAAAATTAATAAGAAATAATCCCTGCTGATTTATGATCCTTTTAAGTTATAAGGTTAAGAGAATATAAATAAAAGAGAGTAGTTTTAGTTCTCTTACTGGAGTTAGACATTGATGTGGTTTGAAAACAAGACTGAGAGTCCATATATATTTTTTGAAATGCAGTAAACACTAGTAAATTGGTGCAAGAGAAGAATTTGTCAATAAAGAATTTGTCAATAAAATATTCTAAAGAGAAATAAATCTGTAGTCATTCTGGAGTGGATGTCCTTTTTTGGTAAGCCATTGCCCATAATAATAAGCCTCGCTGAATCTTGGAACAGGTGAGAGGAGTAGCCTTAGCTTCTCAAAATAATGAGCGTATGGCTATTGGTTTTGATAGACTGGTTTTAATAGATGGACTATGCTGTAAAATTTCTCAGCTCTTTATTACATATCTTCCCAGGTGTTGGTTTGAATTGCAGTGTGGTTTTTAAGAACATATGACTGTGAACTCCATTTTTGAGTTGTTTTAGTATTTATTTGAAATGTAGCTTGCGTAGTGTTACACTCATATCCTTACTAAATCCTGGCTAATATTTTTTTTAGTACAGAGAAAATATTGACATTTTGCACACTAGATTATGAATCTGTAACTTTTATCACTGCTCTAAAAATGTCCTGTCCCATTTTCAGTTAAAAAATATGTAATTTTGAAGAATAAAAACAAAGATGGATTTCAAAAGGAGAATCCTCATTAAACCATAAAGACAAAAACTTTTCAAATACTCATGTCACTTTTAGGGTGTTCCACTGACTTTTGCCATAAATCTGCCTTTTTTTTTTTTTTTTTTAAAAAAAGGAGTGATCAAGTGTGCTCAGAGAAGGAAAAAATTAAAGAGAACTTTTGAAAAATGGAACTTCTTAACTCCTGGGACCAAGCTTTATGTTTTTCCTAGAAGAGAGCCAAGGCCTGTGCTTTGTTCCTTTGTGCATTTCTTCTCTCTAGCACATACAACTGAAATTATCTATATTCAGTTTACTTTTTGGTCCTAATGGGTTTGTTTTTACTTCAAATGCTTAATATCCCCTCTCCCTTTAATGTGCAAGCTACACAAAATGGCAAGTGCAAGGCTGATTCACGTTTAGTGTGATGAAATCAGTTAATTGACAGGTTTGTCTGTCAGTTGGGACAGGTGCTTTTGGACAAAAGGATTAGAGAACCTAAATATGGGGAGAGGTGTAACATTGAATGGAAAATATACTAGAAGCTCAGACAGACCAAAAAACAAACAGTATATTTTGCATTTTTTGCTTTGGGTCAATATGTAGGGCGGGACTTAGTTGATGATGTTCCCTGAGATGTTTTTGTCAGGATACTGCAGACATAGGAATCTTATAATAATTGCTCCAGTGTCTTTTCAATAAATCAGTTCCTATCTGTCTTAATCTGTCTCTGTATAATCACTTATGTTTCAAGTCACCATAAACACTGAGTTAGTGAATATGGAATCATTGCTTTTAGGGGAAATGACAGGTTAGGTTCCTGGAAGGGGTTGTTCACAACATTTTTGTGAACTGATTGATATACAATTTAGTTTTATGTGTGTTTCTATTTAATGACACTTTAAGATATATTATTGAATCATTAATATTGAAATTATGGCCTGTAACACTATAACTCATACCTAAATGAACATTATCTAATATGTATTTTCTCTGTAAGGAATAGCAAAGACTTGGACTAAGGAACGGTAAAGAGGACTTCAGCACTGTGTTTGGGGGCTGTTTTATACAGTGAAATCACCAATAAAATGCACAAAAATGAGAAAAACAGCACTAAACTGATTATGAAAAGGACCCAATATGAGAGCTAAAATAAGAACATGCAAGTCAGGAGACCAATGTTCTTCACTTTTGTGCATATCTGCAGGGGGCCATGAAAGTGCCATGAATGATGGTTTGGCGAATTTAAATAAATTTTATTTAGATAGGCAGATTTGCAAGTAAGAAATCTCCAAATAGTGAGGATCAACTATGGTTACTTTTTTTTTTTGTGGTACCGAGCATCAAATTTAGGACCCTGTGGCTTGAAAGGCAGGCAGAACCACTGCCGCAACTTGTTACTTTTAAAAAACATTTTCCTGGGTAAACTTATTTTGAATAATTAAACTGTTGGAGTAGTTTCCTTTCTGAAATACATACTTTGTATCATATTGTCCTTTTAGTCAGGCATTTCTACTTTATGTTTGAAAATACTGACAACTTTTGTTTTTTTAGTTTCAATTGCAGAACTGATACCATCCTGAAACATTTTCATGTTTTCTTCTCAATTGGTTTGGTTTCAGGAGGCTAAGTTAAGCAAATTCCATCTCTTTGGCTCTAGGAGTGAGGTAGAGATGTAAGTCAGTTTTTGCTTGAAACAGTATCAAATAGTCAAGCAAATATAATTCCTTGTAATCTTTAAGGTTTCTTTTCTTTTTCTTTCAATACTGCTGACTGAACTTAGGGGTGCTCTCCCACAGAGCTACATTATTTTTTGAGACAAGGTCTTGCCAGGTTGTCTAAGCTGGCTTTGAACTTTCAATCTTTTTGCCTCATCCTGGGAAGTAGGTGGGATTACAGTCATTTGGCCCAACAGCTTTCAGATTTTTATTAAAACAGTAGGACTGGCTGTTGTTCATATGCATCACCATAAGAAAACCTTTGGTGCTAATCTAAGGAATTTCATATCGATGATTGGAAGAAGTTCTTGATGAGGGGACGTTTTAAAAAGTGTTCTTTACATGAAATAGACTTTAACAGGGAATGTCAAGACTAGGAGACCAGTGACAATTTGTTGGGATAATACAGACATGAGGTTATGGGGACTGGTTAAGATATGGTACTGTGAAAAGGATGGGGTAAGACCTAGTTGATCTGGGCATGGGGTTAATTGGTCCCATCAGTAATTGGGGCAGGATTTTACGACTGAGTTCTATACAAGTAGCTCAGTATTCTGGAGCTTTGTGTACCATGTTGAGGAATTCAAGTTTTATCTGAAATGCAGTGGTAAGATATGGAAAGACTTGGGGCAGTGACATGTTCTGATTTATATTTTTATACAATCATGCTTGCTGAGTATAAAATAGAGAGGTTTACAAATTAGGTGGTAAAGTGATGACAGTAGGAATGGAGATGAAATGTTATAATGCATGCTTGTGAAGGTCTTGTGGTGGATTGGACAAGGACTGTGTAGTAGGAAGTGTCAAGAATGACTTGCTTATGCAACTCTTGGATGAAAGTATCACTTAGTAAGATAAATAATGATCAGATTTAGGGAAAAGTGTTGGGAGCCCAGTGGTTCAGACATACCAGTTGGGAAGGAAATGTCAAGTGGGAAGTTGAGCATATGGCCTTAAGTTTAGCAGTGGAATTTTGGGCTTAGAGTTTGGACTCAATTAATGAGCATCTGGATATTATTTAAAGCCTAAGGAGAGGATGAATGTAGGGAAGCAGTGCAGAATAAGGTGTTCACTGTAGGACTCCTGTAGAGCATTGGTTTCAAGCAGTAATGTTCATTTAAAGCAGGGCTGGAAGACCAAGAAAGAAAGAAGTACCAGAGTGTTGTGAGAATATGATGTTTGGAAATTTGAATCTATTTCGAAAAGGGGAGGTAGTGAACACTTGTGTTATTGGAAAGTCATCTTGATCAATTTTTTTTGAACTGGCATTCACGTTAATGCATGGTTAGCCCTTAACTTACCTGTTAAATTTTACCCCTAGTTACTTAGTAGGTGAATACTTACTGCACTAGACTCTGTGCTTTATTCCCGGTTATTTTGTAACTGTATCTTGTACTTGTCTATTACTCTGCTTTTGCCTGAGTAATCTGCTCCCTAACTACTTGTAATAATCACTTCCTCCTTTCTGAGAACACTTGTAGCTATTTGCTCTTCCCCCTCTTATAGCATTTAATCTTTTGTCTTGATATATAATTATGTAAGCACTTAGAAACACTAAGTTAATTAGTATTCTTCTCTCACCTCCCCTAGTAGACAGTAAACTTGCTGAGGGTAGAAACACTCTTTTAATTGGTTTGTATTCAAATACTTCTCAAAGGAAATGGTATTTGTCTTAAAAAACAAAACATTTTTTAACCATATGATGTTCTTCAATAGAATTTAGACCTAATTTTTAAAATGAAAAATACCATCAGAATCTACTGGACCATCAGAAGTCTTCTATTTAGTAGACCAGGGT